AGCTGATCCCTTTAAGATTATAAAAGAAGAAGGGGGCGGCAGCCTTTAAACACACAACAGATTTTCTCTAGTACCAAAATCAAGAAGAGAGAATTCTGCTCCCTGCGAATACTCTCTTGCCGCCTCCCTATTCTTGCTGCCCTATTTGCCAGTTTGATCTCCAGTTGTGAGAAAAGTCAAGATTGGATCTTGATATCAATTATTTAAGAAATGATTGAAAGGAAGCTGTGCTCACGCACCATCTTGCTGATTCTTGCGAAGGACAGAGTTCTTGGAGAAGAACACTGTTGATTCTGCTCCACCTGTACTGCGTCATCTTCAGTGGGAGTAGTCTTTGGATTCTTCCTTGGGCGTGAATACTTTCGTTGGGAGATTCTACTTCTCCGTATCATGTATAATTCTCACCTACTTCTTTTGGTTCAGATCTGGTTCAGTTTAAGGTTCAAGAATGATCCTTGAAAATATGATTTTCTAAATAAGGAATATTATTCCCAATTGAAGGGAAAAGAAAAATTTTTGAAATTCGCCCCTTATTCTGCAATCTTTGGGCGTCCATGGAATGGATCTCTCATCCCTTCAGGAGCCCCAGCGTGCAATTAGCGAACCAATGAACGCATCCCCAATAGTTGGTTTAGTATGATTTCCGAGTACAAAAGTATTTGTTCATTTTACATGAGAATGCCCTTAACGTTTTCAGTTCACTTCTGCTGAAGAAAGCATTTATCTTTGCAATCTTCAAAGTCAATACTGAAAACAATAATCCYAGGATTCTGGCTTCAAACAAGCTCACTTTTGCGAAGAATCAAGAATTGAAGCGTTTAATCTCTATGCATATTATCATGTACAATAAATAAACCCTTAAACATTAAAATTGGAAGTCAGTACGTCACCTAAATTCGAGTCGCAAAGAGGTTAACGAGCAACTCAACTGCCTCTATAATGTTCCAATGAGATCAAGCAAAATCTTGGAGAATATAAGATGAGAAGCAAAGCAAAAATTTACAGTCATTGCCAAGAAAGGAAAAACAATACTGACATGTGTCTATGATAATAAGTTAATAACAATAGCTACTGGGGTCTCTGACAGACTTTGTGCTGCTGAAAAATTCTCCAGAGTTGAGTTACAGGATCTGAGCAGCCGTGTTCAACTTTTCTGCCAGGCTAAGTTGCGTCCTTGTAAGGCTTGACAAATAAAGCAATAGTAGATGATCCTAAAAGAATAGAGGCATCAAAATGTAAGCAAATTTGATAGCACATACCACAATAGCAAGCATAAAGTTCAGCATTTAGAATAGCAAATTAGCAACATCTACATGCATTTGGATATACCCCCCATTGAACTTGGGAGTAGCTCCAATAGGTGATTAAATGAGAGAAAATGAACTTTAGATGGTTTGATCACGTGCATAGAAAACTATCAACAACACCCACGAAGTGATTTATTGCAACTTGCAAATTGAAGGGACTAGAAGGATTAGGGGTAGATCAGAAAGGACATGTCTAGTAGTAAGAAATGATTTAAGCACCAATAATTTAACAAAGGATATGACTTTAAACAGAATGGAGCATTGAAACAGAATTCATGTAGCCAAGCCCATGTAGCTGGGATAAGGCTTGGATGATAATGATGATGATCTACCATTATCTGTCCCAAACAAAGGTATAAAAAAAAAGGCTTCGCAATGCAATAATGATCAGACCAAGTCCATCTCAGGCATGAATGTTGGCAAGTGAAATCATTGTCTATGACATCCAAACTTTGGATTGCCTCGATAGAAAAATTCTAGAATGTCATCTTACCTGTAGACTGTCATTTACAAGCTTCTTGAAAGCTGTTGCTGATACTTTTGGAATAGAGTTTAAAGTATCAGATATGAACCTCCCAATGTTATTGTTTGGAACAGCATGCCCTTCCTGAGAAAAAAGGGTGATGGAATTATTTTTATTGGTAAAAACAGTTATGGAATTCAAAACATAGAGGTGCATCAAGTGAAATTAAGCAGGCCAGCATCGGGTATCTCACCACAACATTGTCAACATATTTGTAGACATCATCAATTAGTGCAAGCAATCTCTCCATAGAGGCTTCCATTCCTTCCAAATCMTTGGGAACTTTGTCTACCGTTGTTGTCTTTAGGATATCAACTGCAGTTATGCAAAATTGAACTTTCAGGAACCTTAATCAACAGGTTTTGCATTGATTGCAGTATAAAATCGGATAAAGATTCTTCAGACCAGAGGGCTTCCACATCAGAAGTGACTACATATCTTCTCAAGAAAGAGTATTCAGAAAGTGGTTATTTCCACTCTCAGGAAAAACAAAAGAAAAAGAAAAAAGTGGAAGTAGTTATTTCCACTCTCAGGAAAAACAAAAGAAAAAGAAAAAAGTGGAAGTAGTTAACTCCACTCTCAAAAGAATTCACTTCATAAATGTGGCTACCTATCAGAAAAAAAAAAAACTACCCACTTCATATGATGTGGGATACATACTAAGTTTTTTTTTTTTTTTAAATTCGGTTCCCTAATTTAAATTAAAAAAAAAAAAAAAAAACTAACCATAAAGACTTTCAATGGTGTGGCCACATTTTCAAACAAAATAACAGGCATACTTGCCACATACTTAGTACAGGATGGTCATTACTTAGTCCTTTCCCATGAAAGCAATAGGAAGAGAAGAATAACAGTCCTATGCACTTGACTAGAAACAAGGATTATGGCAATACAAAGATATCATGAAGAAAATCAGATTCTTGACAACAGAGTTGCAAACCACCTTTATTCTTGGGTTCAAAGATCAGTAAATATCTTGGCAGATGCAATGACCATGCAATGGGTAATCAATCAAGGATCAATTATTTTGGTGTCAACTGTTACTTAATTAGTAAGGAAATGGGTTAGGTGGTTACTTGGCAGCCTAAAGTGGAGGGATGCTTGGCATGCTATTCATAAACCATTCTTTTTTTATGTACCCAAAAAAAAAAAATAAGCCATTCTTTTTGTCAATGAAATTTTAAGGTTACTAATAAAAATGTTTAAACATTAAAATATAGTTTTAACCTTATAATAGCAGGCCTTCTAAAAAAATCTTATAATAGCATAAGTCTTATGTATGCACTGATGTATGTATACATATTTATAGCTTTTTTCATTTTTAAATTTTTATTATTGTTAAGAAAATGGTGAAACCTGGCCAGGCTGGCTTCCAGCCTAGCAGGTTAATCTGTTTGATAACCTAAAATAGTTTTTGGTCAACTAGAACTTGACTATTTCAAGTTTTCTAGGTTACTTAGAGGTCCTTTGAAAACAGCTAAAGATGTTGAACTGAAAAGCTTATTGCTTTATCATTTAGTGAATAAGTTTTTAAGGAGGTTGTAGGCTCCTTAATGGCTGAAACTGAAATTGGGTAGATCAATATACCCTTGAAATTTTAATTTATTTAATTACTTTAGCAACTAAAAGACAAAGCAATAAGTCTTCCAGTTCAGCAACTTCAGCAGTTATCAAATGGCCCCTAAGTCTCCGAAGAATTCATCTAAGAATTACATATGCCAGTGATCAACTTACGTAATCTTATCCATTAAGCACTATATTTATATACATCTCATGAAAAAACAATGCATTCACTATACATAGAATTCATGCATAAAGAGCATTGTTTATCCACCATTATAAAAAAGATAATGGCAAACTGGCTCTGATCATCCAGGAGCATACATGCCAGAATCATTTGAAGTACATACATCCAACACGCTCAGCTTCAAGCATCCTGAGATCCAGAGGAATTTCCTGGAATTGTGCAGAAATCTGCTGATCTCCAAGAGACAAGTTGACAGATACAAAAGCTTTGATGGTAGCCTCTCCATTTCTGAATCCTGTGCCAACAGTCAAATGAACTGGGTTTGGTACTTCTCTTGAATAGAACTCATGGATGAGAGCACTGCCCCCGGTTACTCCAAAGCCTGTTGAATACCTGTAAAGAAGCACACATGATGAGATAAAACAAAATGATCACACAATTAGGTGACATCAGTAAAAGTAAAAGCAGTGGTATTGGCTGAAACCCTTTACATGTGCAATTAGAGTTATGAGGCTTAAATTTAGTATGATGAGGAGCAGAGGATTTAGCATGGCTAATTACTGTTGCTTATGTAATATGGATGAGGAGACTGTTTTGTCACTTATTCTTCTCCTGCAAAGAGGAAAACTTCAACTGGAAATTCTACTCATTCCTTTTTGGCATTCTGGTGTTCCAGCCTTCTTCACCAGCAGAAATCTTTTCCTCTTTGGCCAAGGTTTAGAGAGAGTAACAACGCTAGAATCATTTGGAGCTGTATTCCCTTCGCAATTTGCTGGACAATGTGGAATGAAATGAATGGAAAAGGCTGTTTGAGAATAAGTCAAAGTGCATTGAAGTGATAGTTGCCTTGGTTGGAAAGCTTGTAATAAACTGGGTTCTTGGTTCTTCCAGAGTTTGAGCAAGTCAACAGCTCAGATTTGGTGGAAAACTTTTGGGATATTCTTGAGACTCAAGCTTGTAATGTGAATCTTTTTCATCTTAATTAGCTTTTCTGGCATGTCATCTTGATACCCATTCATCTTGTAATCACTTTTCTTTTTTAATGAAATTTATTCTTTACCCTAAAAAAATAATATACATATGTAGATATTTAGCTTTAAAAACTAGAAGTTAAAGCATTGTACAAACATGTGGAAAGTGCCACACATCATTGCAAAATTCTAAATTCAAAACCAAAGAATGCATTAACCATCGACTCCTGTCCCATATTTTTATATTCTATAAAAGAATAATAAAGACAAGTATAATCACAGGTGAAATGTCATGTAGTTATCAATTTCATTAATATTCAAATGCCATATACACAAGAACAAACAGCATTGCTTCTTTACTTTATGCTCCTTGTTTCATGAGGTAACTTTTAGTGATTTAGTAACGTAAAAATGTTCACATATCATTGCTCCATTAAATATCATGTGTTTATATCAAATTCATCTCTTAATGAAAGCCTATAATTTAGACACTTTTCTAGTTCTTGTTTATGTTTTCAACTCTTTACACTTTAAACAATGACCATTTAATTGCAATTATATGTACCATCAATGTCATAATAAATGTCAAAGATGTCGTGCTGCATATGCAAGTATGACGACATTGTCATAAAAGTGGTATCATCAGATAACAAATGGGAAACTAGAAGTGGAAGAGGAACGAATAAATAAGAGTACAGAAATTACCATCCAACAATGACTTCCTTTGGGTTCACCTTTTGGTGAGAATACAACATGTTGTGATGGTAATCAATATCCAATGCAACCTGAAACGTTGCCCACAAGGAAGAACGAGATAAGAAAACCAATTACATATCTTTACCTATCAATATGAAAACCTAGATATTTAGCAGCAATGGTTAAAAAAAGGGAATAATAACTAAATGGTAATTGACTAATTGTAACAACAACAATGATGACATTAATTAGTAAAAATCAATAAATTAAACAAAGATTTCAAGGAAAAGCTATGGGCATAAAAATGAAAGAAACATATAAAACCAAAAAACGAATATTGAAGTTGGAAATTATGTCTAACTGAAGAAAATCCTACGCTAGGCGTTAGCAGAGCCTACACTTCGAGAGATTAGATTGAACATCATATCGTGTCTACATCCTTCCTTCTGCACAATAAAACATGGTTTTCACAAACACGACTCGAATGGAGATGGTCTCTTTGTTGCACGCAAAACACGCCCTAAGTGGTATTGCATTTTCTGAAAAATCTATTTGTGATCCTATTCTAATATCTAGCATGACTTCAGAGTTCAGAGTGCCCTGAATTATAAATCTCTTTACTAGCTATACATTCCTCCGTCCAAACTTACACCAGATTCAAGGGTATCACCCCTGAAACCTAAGAAATCGTTCCCTAATTTTTACTGGTCCAAACCTAAAACAGTCATATGGAAAATAAGCAGGCGAGGGGGCGGAAGACAAACAAGCTAGCAAAGGAAGATGCAAACCTGATCAGAGGACTCATTGTGGGGAACTGCATAGGAGTTGCGAATGTCGACGGTTCCGTCAGGAGAAATCGAACCGAGGAGAGTTCCGATGACTCGCTCTGCTTGATCTGGGCGTCTGACGTAGCAATCGCAGATGTTGAATATAACCACCGGGTGAACCTTCGCTGACAAACTAGTCGACGATGGGAAAAATTGCAGCACAGCTTTCTCCCTCGCTGCCATGTTTGCTCCCTCGGTTTCAAATTCGAGCCAAGGGAAGGCTACATCTACAATACAACAAGTAGTGCTACGAGAGAGAGAGAGAGAGAGAGAGAAATTCTGGTGTTTTTAGGGTTTGGGAACCGAGTAACATGAAGGATGGGTTTGTCTTTCTAAAGTCGGAACCAACCGACTTTTGGTCAGACCGTCCGGTCCAATCAATTTTTATAAAGGTTTTTTTTTATTATTTTTCTTCTAATAATTAATAATAGGGTCATTTACTGAAACAACCGTTTACTGAAATCGGTTTATTTTATGAGCTTTAGATGACAGTGGAAAATGATAGCTTTAACCTTAATGTCCTAATAAGATACAAACAACCACTCTATTTGGTTTCATTTAGTCAATTTTGTTTTGTGCGAAGAAGTATTACAAGTGCTTTTGGAATAAACAACCATGTGACCATGCCCTTGAACATTTTTTCACTCAATTTAGGTTATAATGTTATTATTTTCAATGGCAAAACAAACATTTCTTCATGAAAGATTATATGAGGTGTTTTAGTAAAGTGAAAACTATAAGATAGGTTTTTTTTGTCAAAAGTGGAAAGAAACCTCAAAAAACATTACGGGTACAGTTTCCTCCCCCTTATTCTCCATTTCACTGATGATGTGGAGCTCTCACACACAGGTTTGTTGAAAGTTCTATAGGCAGATTTGACAGAGAAATAACCATCCTTTGTGCCTTTCCACACTAGATTGTCTCCTAAACTCCCGATTTGCAGGGGAATGCTCAGAATGGCATTTACTGTATTCTCTTCAAAGAGTTCCTAGAATAATGCACCATTCCAGCTACCCTCTTCATGTAGGTTGCCATTGGCTTGAATCTCGGGTTTGAGTTTTGGAAAGTTATTTAGAGTGTGTGGGATTAGGGATTCTTTGAGAGCCAGTAGTTGAGAGTTCCTTCCAACTTTCCAGCACATCATCGTTTGAAACTAGGGGTGCAAGTTGGGCAGGTTGGGTTAGGTTTATGGTCAACCCAAGCTTGGCCCTAAAATTTGGGCTTAAGGTCTGAACCCGGCCCAAGCCCTAGGTCAAGTCCGATTTTTCTAATCTGAGCCCACCCCACCCTATAATTTGATTCACTCGGGTTGAGCTCGGGTCGGGGCCGGGTTCGGGTTTTGTCAATGAACCCACTCTAAAATTATATATACATACATACATACATATATATATAATATTTATGCAACATTTACATATATAAACATACATGTATAAATGTATATAATTAGGCCGGGTTCAGGCTACCTAAGGGTTAGGCTTGAGCTCAACCCGAAAAATAAGAAAGCCTGATTTCTTGGGCCTGGGTCTAGCTCGAGGACCGAAAATCCAAACCCAACCCGTGTAAAATTCCAAATTGGCCGATTCGAGCTTAGTTGCACCCCTATTTGAAACTCCTTTCCAAGTTTCAAAACACTTTTCCACCACCAAGAGTCAGTTGATTTTTTCTTGCAGTCAAAAAAGCTCTTACCGATTAGGTATTTGCCTCTAATGAACTTAACCCACAATTCTTCTTTGCCATTTAGTAGCCTCTAGATATGTTTCGAAAAGAGTGCTTTATTCATATCAGACATGCTCCGAAAGCTAAGGCCTCCTTCATTCTTCATTTTACATATTCGGCTACAAGAAATATTATGTCCAAAGACAGTCTTCCTATCATTTTTCCACCAAAAGTTCATCTGTGCTCTTTTCATTGGGCCATTGATTTAATAATGTAGTTCTACCTGCCTGTGAAAGAGTTTTAGCTTTCATTTGTTCAGTTTACCTTCTACCTTCATTTGTGGATCCTTGGAAAGGAATCCTTGTGTTTCCCAATTTAGAGCCGACAACACAGGTATTTAGAGTTTCGGCTCATTATTTTCATCCCAAGAAGTTGCATAGAAGTTTTTGGTGTGTTCTGTGTGTGTTTTTACTGAACAGAATGCTTGACATTGTATGGTATATCTTCTGGCCTGACAGGAGCTCAAACTGTTTAAGAGAGTTCTTGAGGGTCATAAAGGAGTTTGGATATGCTTTACACATAATAAGGTAATCATTTGCAAAAAGCATATTGTGATGGTTGGGGTCTCTTTTGAAAGAGTTATTCCTTTAATGTTGCCTACTTCCTCCTGTTTTTTGAGAAATATAAACAATTAAGGACTAACGTGCAACTGCAAATAGAGGTGTTATAAGGTATTAGATGTTGTAAAACTATACACTCCTTGCATTTATTTAGCGTCTGTTTGGCATTGATGTCGTTACTCCAGAAAATGGTGATACGTCAGCGCCACGTCAGAAAAAATGGTGTTTCAGGAAACGCCAATAAATTTAGAATCATTTTTTCATAAAAAATGGTGTTTCAAGACACGCCTTGAAAATCGAGAAGGCATGGTTTAAAGCAACACCAAATTTGACGTTTACTCATATTGCAATTCATTGCTACCAACGAGGACATGATGTGGCAGTGATGTGAACTTTCTATAATGGGTACCAGTGCTGAAAACAGATATGGGCACTGGTACCAAACAGAAAGTGCTATTGTTGCTCTAGGAAATGTCCTATTTGGCAGCAACATTTCCAAACAGAAAAAAAGAAAACAGTGCTTCCAACCCACACATCAGCAGCACTGTTTTCTCAGAAAATGGTGTTGTATCTACAACACCAATGCCAAACATATACTTATTTTGATGCTATCATTTCATACAATTGTGCTTCAACACAGACGCTCTATAAAAGATGAAAATTGCATTATTATTAATCTTAAAAATTTAGTATTTGGATATGAGATTTTACTAAAAACAAGGGAGGCAAAGCAGCGGACTTTAGGTCTTGAATGACAACATATGTTGGCGATGTTGATGACTGTCACCAATGGTTGAAACGTGGGCGAATTTTCAATGAAGTATTATTCTCTTTGGATTTGGTTAGGGATGACAAATTTTCACATCCCACACGGGTATCCAGTTTCCCCAATAGGGTTGGGGACGGGGATTACTTTGGTGGAGCGGAAATGGTGATGGAATTAATAGGGATCCCTGATCAAGGTTGGGGAATGAGGTCCCTGCCCCACCCCGACCCCAATTATAAATATATTAAATATTATGCATATTAAATATAAATTATTATATATGTGATATTATTTATATTATATATAGCAAAATAGATTTAAAATATTGTTCATATTTTAAAATTTTTATTTATCTTAAATAAATTTATTTTTCAGAAAATACTGTTAACTAAAAAATTTTGGGGATTTAGGTCCCACAAAAAACTCGTCTCCGTCAAGGATTGGGAAAGGAGGACAAGTTTTACCCCCAATAGGGATCAAAGTCAGGGACGGGGGTTTATTGTAAAATCAAGGTTGGGGACAATGAATATGATCTCCACCCTGAACCTACCACATTGCCATTCCTAGACTTGGTCCTTGGATAGTCAATTGACATTGAGACTTGCATTTTGATCGAGTGGCCCACCTAGGCTCATAGTGATCTTATATCAACAACTCCCTCTAAACACATATGTGTAGAGCTATCAAATGGGTTGTACTGGGTTTGGGTTTTTGGTGTTAGACAGTGTATGCCCTTAGCTCCAATCAGATTGATGTACATTAGACATTTATTGTAAATGAATAAAAGTATATAACTGATTCATATTATATTTGGTATGTTTTTGTGTAATTACCCTTAAAATAGACACTTATGAGACTTGTGTTAGTTTAGAATGTTCTCAGTCATTGGATAGACCTAGGGAGGTTTATCCTACCAAAGCTAACACTAATGTGCTACCAAGTCGGTTGGGGTAGCTTGTCTTAGCTGCCAGGGTGAGACCCAAAGCACATTTAGTGTGTATTTACCTGAAACACTAAACCCGAACCATTTTCTAGTTATGCCCTAGACCTTGGACACTAGTGGGCAAATATGGAAAATTACACCTAACCCCTAGACTTGATTATGGTACTGTACTGAGTGTTGGATTGGATTGTCTTTGAGATGTCAATCAGTGAGATCCTTAGCGGGGGTCAAAACCTGGGTATGTTGGGGTAGTCTGAGATTTCACTCGAGTGGGTGATCATAGTGATAGGATCACCCCTTTCGTCAGACAAAGTGAATGATAAGGGACTACACTCTCTTAATGGAAACAAAAACTGTCGGCAATCAATTTCAATCGTGTTTGAGATTTGTTTTTGCAAAATATATTTATATAAAAATATACATATATAACATTTTATGAAAAATGTTTGCAAAAGGTTTTAATTCCTAGGATCCATCTGAGCAGAGAGTGTAACACTGCCCTTACAATCGAGGGAGAGGTCATTTCCTATCGGGTAGTGTTTGATCATTATGGGCTGAGAGGTTGAGTGTAATATATGTAATATATTTTGCAAAGACCATTTAGGGCTATTGTACCTGATGGACTAATCTCGTTTAAGACCATAGTCCTTGGGCCTTCATAAGGTGGCTRGACTCAAAGACCATTTTGTGTAAATATTGGGCCCATTAAGAGCCCACATTGATGGACTCAGGGGTTCATTGTGTTCAATAGTGAATTCGATCAAGCCTTGTAACAAATGTTAGGTTGAACCCATATGGCTTTTGAGAAGATCAATGTTAGGGTCCCACGCCATACAAAGAGAGCAAAGTTAGTCAGCAATTAAAAGGGGAGGTGAACCCACTTACTTAATGGGCCTAGGGTCCAAGATTAATATGATTAATCAAGGTGTCACATGACAACTTAAGTAGTCATGTGACATGGGGCGAATATGGGTATGGATCTGGGTTTGGATCAGCAAATAAGATAAGTCTTATCACTTAAGGAGTCTAGATCCAAATAAAGATTTGGATTATTGGATTAGGAGAAGCTTATCCTTAAGGCTTATAAATAGAGGGGGCGGATTGCTTCAGTTTTACCTTTTTCTGCTATCAGTTTTGTCCCTCTATTCTTGCCACCCTACCCTATTTGATCTCCAGTTTCTTGAACTGATCAATATTGGATCTTGATTCTGATTTTTGCAAGAAAAATCAGATTTAATTCGTACTCACCATCCCTTGCTTGATCCTTGTTGAAAGATTGCAGTTCTTGCTGAAGGACT